TTTTTTGACATGAGAACACTTGTTTGTCATGCTGCTTACCAAAAATGTATATTTATCATCGTTATAAAATATTAGACATCAACACTTTATTTATTTTAAATAATACAATTCAAATTATATAATATCAAAATTAGATAATGAGTGTATATCCTGTATCATTATTAATGAAGTTTGTATATTAAATTCAATTGGAAAAGTAAATTAGCACTTACCTGAGATTATGTTAATGCCTCGCTATAATTATAATTAAATTTGAATGTCTTATATATTTAAACTGTTTTGAGATTTTTTAATGATAAAACATATTAATTAAAAATTGAATATTGAATTGAAGTATATTTGTATATTTTAGGATATTGTTTAACGGTTTAATTAGATATGGTGCGATCAATTGCTGAGGGTCCCTGAATCTAAGTTGGACGAGTACATTTGGAATATGCTTTTTGGCTGGTCTTTCTCGAATATGTCGCCGATTATTTGCTTTTATTGTCTTATGCGATCGGAGAAAAGAAGGCCCTCTTATTTCTTTCGGGTTTTAATATTAGAATAATTAAAAATTCTTCTATGGAAGACTGAGTCTGTTTCTGTCTTATCTGGAGACAGTTTAATTTGCGTATACAGTAATTGGTGTATTGATGTTTTATTATTGTATAATGTAGTTAACTGTAATGTGTGATTTTGGTTGGAATTTTTACTTGAATTATTTAAATTTATTTAAATAAAAGTAAATGTTGCTCTTTATAGAAAGAAATCCATTCATAATTGGTTTGAAAACATTTATTGCAAATCTAAGGATAATATGTAAAGTGGAGGCACTGAAGACTCTAGAAGATTGACTCTCACCCCAATAGCGAAATGCGTGAATAACATTACTTTTCAAGCATCATTCTACAATAATAAACTCATAGACTGGGCAATAAAGATTCTAACTTTTATATACCAGTTTTTACTGCATTAATGTATCATAACATAGTAGAATGAAAATAAAAATGCCTTTCTTACCTTTCTGTTGTTTTGCTTGTTAATTTTTTGAGCACGAGAAGTTTCCAAAATGATTCCATGTTTCTTTGGAAAATGGGTTATAACATTTGAGAACAATATCAATACTTCTTCCTTGAATAATTTAAAAATTTAATTATTAACAATAGAAAAGTTCCACATGATTGATTAATTAATTAATTAAATATTAAAATAATTTTCTAATACAACGCATCTATTGTCTCATTGAAAAGAATATAAGACAATATCCAAGCGAATATTATTTATTATCTGATAAATTAATTTAATTCCATGCTAAATGGAAACAACTTTAAATATTTTTAATGAAAATTTAAATATAAAACCAGAAAAATAACTCGCAATTTCCAGGAAACTTTCTATTTCAAGATGGCGCCGGAGAATACGAAATCGAACGAATTCGAATCCGGAACGTTACAATTAATGCGTCACGCGTTACGTCATAAGTTCTACGTCAGAATATTAACTAATTGCAAATATTTTCTTTAAAATGCTAAAATAGTCCTTTTTTTTTGTAAAATATATTTGTAATAATAAATAACATTATAAAAACGCATTCCGTAACCTTACAGGTTACAGGCCGCAAATCTAGGTTTAAAGCGTATCTAATTTAAATTATTTAATTTTGATATAAATCGAAAAATATTAAGTTACCTACGTTACGCGAGTTTTCATTATTAAAATTTGTACGAAAAATGTTAAAATGGAGGGAAAAAGAACTCGCAATTTCCGGAAAGCATAAATTTCCAAGATGGCGTCGGCAACAATACGAAATGGAACGAATTCGAATTTGTCGTTGCAATGCGTCACGCGTTACGTCACGAGTTTTACGTCATAGATGTAATATTTCGAGTATTTTAATTGCATTTTTTAAAGGAAAGTTTATTTTTAACAAATTCTTTTCTCTCGGATTTGGCAGAATATTTGTTAAATGTAAAACTTCGCTAAAAAGAAAATTTACTCAGATTACATTACAAGTGGTTGGGGTTTGATTGGAAACAATTGCTTCCACCGTTGTAAGATCGGGAATTTACAACATATTTCATACAACTGAAAGTTTTAATTTATATTGCCACAATATTTTCTTAACTGTGAAAAAATGGGTAGCTGCACTTCCTTCTTGCGGATTGATTGTGTAATTTACATAATAAACAACAACCCAGCACATTTCTATTACCAAATGATCTGTCAGATTATCTCTTGGGATATGTTGAGTCTAATAACTAATTAGATAACAAATCAGTTTGGCTAGAGATAGGTGGTTTAAAGGGGCGTGCCGTGACATTTGATGATAGGGAAGCTGTGTTTCTGTAAGAAGCCGACATCCAGGGACAATCAGTCAATTGCGTGTCAGTGATGGTCTGGGGTCCATTCGTATCGTTTATTCGATAAGCCGGTAAAAACCGTAGACTTCTCTAAATGTATTTTTCATATCACAATTACATTCTGAATCGCTAGCCACGATATAAGGGCTACAATTAAAAATAAAATAATAAAAACTTACTTGGTGAAATAAAATATGTAGTGGATGTACTGGTACATACAAAATATTCTTCAATTATATGAATATACTTTTAAAGAAAATTATAATTAAATATAGCTTTGTAAAGGAACGTACATAAAAATAATATAAAATATTCTTTATTTTTTAAATCTTAAAACAATGCACTTAGTCAAATAGTTCCCTACGAGTGGCTAATGAATGGAATCGAAGACGGTTGCAGACCGTGCATACACGCGGACTGCCAAATCCCCAGGGTGCCGAGACCGGTCAATGTCAAGTACCTCTTTTGTCGCATCATTAGTATATCTCAAAGGATGCGACAGGGCTGTTGTAGATTTTAAACGTTTCTCACCATAGCTGTAAAAATCTAAATATATTAAATTTAATAGTCATTTGTTTTCTAACTAATTCGTTTTAGGACCAGATGTTGTCCACGAAAATTTCCAAAATTTACAACTTTTCGGCCATTCTCATTGAACTGGAAAAATGTCTGTCTTTATTACATCTAATATTTCGAAGAAATCAGTCCCACTGTACTCGGCTATAGATTGGTCCGGTTAAGCTTTTGTTTAAGTAATATTCCGGTTCTTTCATTAGGGTTTTGTGTATGTCTCCAATTCCCTAATCGCTTAATTATTTAACAAGATGGCGGTTATAATAAAATATTGTGCGATTATTTTCATATAATTAAAATTAATATGTATTTATTTTTATAAAATACAATGGAAGCGGCGCTTCCACCGCTTCTAATGACGGCACGCCACTGAAGTAACGTAAGGGAGCCAAGACCAGGCTCTGGGCAGTTTCTTCGGAACAGTATTAATATGAGCTTTTTAAAAAGAAAAAAATTTGAACATTTAAATTATTTATATTATTTTGTTATTTAAAAACGTTAATTTACATATTAATTGTTAACATTTCGTTTTACGTTATTGGCACGTCACCTTTATAATTCATTCAGCTCAAGGATAAGTCGAATTAATTAAAAAGGAAGTAGTTCGTCCAATGGAAATTTCAATTGTAAATGTTTCAAAGTTTATAACAATGGTTCTTAACCGGTTTTCCGCAAAATTATGAAAGAAGGGTACTAGCTGAAACTATGATTAAACAAACTTTAGCGTAAATTCGCAGGTTACAGCCCAGTCATGGAACAACTTGCATTTTGCAGCGAACACCTTTGAAAAGATAAAAAAAACTTATATAATGTGTTTAAACAATGTTTTTTGCGTAGAGTCCCTAGTTTCAAAACATATAAAAATTAAATTTTAATTAGGAAAAGATTTTTGGAACATTTTCTAGTTTCCCTCCCGTTTTCTTTTGGAGGTGCCAGGGCCCCTGGTGCGCCGCTGATCTAATTATTAAAATTTGTTCGATTTTTTCATAATTTTCGTATTTAGATAGTTGAAATACAATAATTCGCAGCGAAATTATACGTAACTTTTAACTGTAAAACGTAAAATAAATATATTTTAAATAAGTATAGTCTCCTAATTACTTCCGGTAATACCGAAGTTTCAATACAGCCAATAGCAAGGGCTTTTGTATAAACTTTTGTATAAACTTAATGTAAGTGACTAAGAGACTAACATTCAATATATTTACGAGTGGCATAACTTCCAATGTGCCACGTAAGCTTCCAGTACTATTGGATAAGCCGAGCGGTTAAGGAGGGCCGCCTACCGCTCTGGAGGACCCGGGATCGAATCCGAACGGGTCAAGGAATCCCCAGGAATTTTTCGGGAGGTGGTCCGTTCGGATATGTCGGGCCCCGTCCCTCACCACCCGGTCGCCACATTGTGGACCTTGCCGAACCCATAATGGGCCTGCTATAAGAGGCCCTCTTAGTGCTCACAGGGCGGAAAGAGTATTAAAAAAAAAGAACTAATAGATACCAAGTAGTTAAATTACATCCCCAGCTGCGGGAGATTAATTTTCTTAATTATCGCGCAAACTTATTTGTTTCAAATTAACCGAAATAAAGAAATATTATTATCTCCGTAAAATTTTTATTTCTGGTAAAATTATTAAAATATAAAATAAATTTAAAATAGTAAAAAATACGATATTTTAATAAACGACGGTGGCGCTCTCCAACGTCCTTTTCGCGAATTAAATTTTGCCAGGTGTACTTTGAGTTAGACAGATTCATTTATTTATATTCAATACGGATCAGTTTTGGTGGATAGATGTTGCCTTTACATGCAGATGACAAAGAATATCGTTTCCACAAAAGACACCGCATTAAAGAAAAACTTCAGGGATGGCTGAGGTATTGTAGAATACACAAGATGTGTCTATTCCATCTATTCGGTCTGTTCCATGTTTTTCAGCATATGATCATTCGTGTAATCAATCCTCTGTTTTCTACTTCACTTAAAACATATAAACATGTTTATGTTATGACATGGACACGTATGCCAACTTATAATTTGAAACTATGAGTTATTTTAAATAATTTTGAAGAAATTCTATGTAGTGATAGCTAAATAACTGAGTTACACCTATTTTTAAATAGGGAATAATTACACTACGGAAACAACAAGATCTTTATTTTAAAGACGTGATCTTATTGTGATTCTAGGTAATGTGCAAAGGAACAAATATTCAAAAGCGCACGAGATTTCTTTTCCTTCCTGATACGGGTTTAGAGAATTTAGAAACAAACCTTGTTTCGTGCTCGTTGGCTACGTTACGCTTTAGCTGTCTTCTCTTGGCAAAAGTGTAATGAAGCTAATCAGGATGGCGTTGGTACCGTGTTCGTATTCTAATAATCCACACACACACTATCTAGAACTTGTGAATTGTGAATAATACAGTTTATCGCTAACATTTTCGAACCGTTAAATAGTTCTTCCTCGGGTGAAATATAGTGAATAATCAATAGAACGCGTCAAAAAAGAATGTGAATATACTCAAATCAAACGAAAGCTTGACGAAATCCGTTATGCATTACGTGCGTGGATGGTGGTAATTAAAGGTCAGCGTCCGTAAGAGCCTGCCAGGCAACAGATAAATTTAGCTCCTTCTTTCAGTTGATTATAGAATGAGCCACAAGGCCATCTGCATCAACCAAAAGGAGGAGCTAAATTTATCTGTTGCCTGGCAGGCCCTTATGGATGCCGACCTTTAATTACCACCATCCGCATGCCCATTCGTCAAGCTTTTGTTTGCTTTAATTTGAGTATTCGTGTTCTATTTTGATATGTTCCATTGATTTCATCTGAGGAAGAACTATTTAACGGTTTGAAAACGTTAGTGAAAAACTATATTATTCAAAAAGCACACCACAGGTTCTGGATAGTGTGTTGATTTCCATTCCCGGTGTTGATGTGTTGTTGATCTTCATTTTTCTAATAATCCTTATGAAGTATCCTAACTATCCTTATAAAGTTAATATTTATTATTATTAATCATTAGCTTTAGATAAATCTGTCATCCTCAGAATCATTTTTAATTAATAATTTTCATAAGAATCATTTTTTCCCCTCGTTCGTCACAATATAATATGCACATTAATTTGTGCATATTATGTATATTTATATCCTATATAAGAATGAAATCGAATTTCATATCGTACAATTTGTTATAATGATGTAATGTAATTACAAATTTGTCTTTTTTTTTTAAATTAAAATTTAAAATTTTTTAAAAGATTAGAAGTATGATTTAATTAGGAATAAATATATTTTTTTTTATGTAATTTTTCAAACACTTTAATAGAATTATGTAGCTTTTGTAAATTTGTACCATTTCATTGGCATTATATACTCTTGAAATGTTTAATAAGATGATAACCATATGCTGCTTAAATTACAGTAAGATCTCGTTTAGTGCTTTCACGATTAATGCCGATTCGATATAATATGGTCTGTTTGAAGCCTTAAAAAAGGCTCAAAATTTATACTGATTTAAATTATTGCGGCATTTCGTTGATCTATACTAATATTATAAAGAGGTAATGTTTGTAAGTTTGGATGTAGGGGTAATCTCTGAAACTACTTATCCGATTTCAAAAATTCTTCCACCAATATTTAGAATAGAACTTCAGGGTGGACATAGGCTGTATATTATTCCATTAAACATTCATATAGATTAAAAGACATCATCTAGGGTTAAGGCTTTTATGTCCAACAGATGGCACTACGAATACGACGCTCTAAGTTTGCTTTTCTGTGAGGATGAACTAAAGCGGATCATCTTCTATCTATCTATATAAATAAAAATGTAATGTTCATTTGTTCCTACCGATTCCTTTGAAATTTTGACACAATGCGGCATTCAAATACACGTGTTTTTATATAATATATGTGTCGAATTTTCCCCCACTGGGGGGAGATGGACAGGATTAAGGCTTATCATAAAGAATTTTGCTTCTATTTATACCACTTTAGATGCAGTTTTTTGTGTTTTAATACGGTATGTCAACAGAATATACACTAAAAAAGGATTTTTCGATATTCTCCCCGCGGGAAAGAGAGACAGGATTAAGGCTTACCGTGAAGAACTTGGCTTCTATTATACTATTTTAGATGTGGTGTTTTGCATTTTTGATTGCATTTTAATAGGGTACGTCAAGAGAATGTACACTAAGAAGGGATTTTTCGAAAAATTCTCCCCCTCCACGGAGGAAGTGTTATACATTTATAATAGATACATTTTGAGTCACAACAACGTGTAGCGGGGTCTGCTAGTTTGTATATAATACAATTATTCCCAAACATGAACCAATTGGCAAAAGGTGGCAATTTGTCGTAGCGCTGTACTTCCACTAAATCTATGTTGGTGCAGTTTTGGAAAAAATATAACATTGTGGATGCCATAGGCAATATTGACTTTGCTTGGCAAGAATTAACTGATGAATGCATGAACAGAGTGTAGAAGAAAGTATGGCTGAAGGTATCCAAGGATTTTCAACGAGAAGAGCCTATCATTGACCAAATTGTCAACCTAATCGATACAGTAGGACTAGGAGATGTAGATGAGCAGGATATCCAGGAGTTACTTAGGAATTTCTGGTGAGAACCTTCCAACGATGACTCTCAAGAACTGGCAGATTAGCAACAGTGATTCTGAAAATGAAGAACCCAAAGAACTTGCTACAGATTTCCTTAGTAAAAGTTTGGTAATGATAACTGAAATTCTTGATCACATTGTAATGAATGATCCAAATTTTGAAAGGATCGTAAAAGCAAGACAAGGCATTTTGATGCAATCTCCTGCTACTGACATATGCTTAATAAAAGAAAAGAAAGCAATAAATGACACTAGATGACTCCATCACAAAAAAATCAAGAATTTCAGAAGAGCAGGGACCTTTGTCACAAAAATGAACTTTATATTTCTGTGTGCATATGTTTGTGTTATTTTTATATTAATTTGCATAATATTATGTATTACATAACTTCAAAAATAAACAAATTTTACTTTTATTTTGACATGTGTTCCCCTTTCCGTATTTACTGTGTTAAAATGACCTCGTTTAATGCTGTTTCATTTAGCGCTTTGTTGTCTAGGAACACATCCTAAGCGCTAAATGAAGTCTTACTGAAATAAGCAAACAAAGTAATTTAAACAAGTACAGTAATACTTGTTTAAATTACTTTGTTTGCTTATTTCCTTACTTTAGCAATGATGTTATCTACAGATAAGTATCTATAGATAGCTATGTCATCATTTACAGTGACAAAATGTTTGAATGCCACTTCATCACTCATTGCTATAATAAGTTGGCCCATTTTCTTCAATACAGTTGATTCTGATAGCAAGTTTGATTTATTCAAACCATAGTTGACTGAAATCTTGCTTTGTAAAGCAATTTGCAATGACACTTTGGAACATCATTTTAAGCTTTGTTAATCATTTGTAATGCATTTAGCAAGTTTACTTCAAACTCATGTGATTCATCTTTTGTACAATAGGTTTTCTGTATCATAATTTAATATTGTGTAGATAATGTCTTGGCATTGCACAAAGCCTTTATTGAGGTTTTAAAGAGTTTCTAATTAATAACAATCAGTTTTTCATCAGCTATTATATTTGCTCTCAAGAGTTGCACACTCTTTGCTTCTTTTTAACCTCTATGACATGAATCATCTTTGAATGCCATTGTTTTGTCTGGGAAACATTTAAAAACTAATCTTGTTTCTTCATAATTTTTTGAACAAAATATTTCTTTTGATTTTAAAAATAAAATATTAACCTTGTTAAAACATTAGTACACAAAATAACTATTTAGTTTTGTTTTTATATTGATGACAAATATTTTTCTAATATTAACCAAAGATCATTAACTTGATTATGCAAGCTGTGCTATAATTAAATTAAAGAAAATGTTTCCAGGTAACATGAACAATTTTTTCTATAGCATATTATGTTCCTTCGCTCAGTTATCTTCAGAATGAAAATAATAAAAGTAATTAATAAATAAATATTAATTAAAGAAATCTTTTTGAGGAAAATGAAACTTCATTAAAAATATATCAATTTGACTGACAATTATTTTACCAATTTGCAAAACACAACTAATTTTATGTAATTCTTATTTATTAATAACCTTTGTGAATGCAGTGAAATTAATAAAGGCAAACTTCAAATACTTCAAGAAAAATTTCTACAGATTTCTTAATATAAACTGTTCTTAAATTGCTTTTCAAAGTTATAGGTTTTAACTTGTTTCATCTAAGAAATACAATAATTATGAAGTCAGTATACATGTTATACAAAATATCTTTTTTATGTTCATTGTTTTCTTGTTTATGTTATTGAGTTTTTCTAATATTATACATTAATGATTCCAATTAATAAAAAAAAAAAATTAAGTCTTTGATTGGTCTGTTTTTGCTAGTGATGTGTGTGATTCTGATCTTGTGTAGCTTTTTGAACTTTGAATTAGACCATCCCCATCTGGGCCTGAGTGTTGCTGTCTTTACAGTTGGTGGTCAATTCTTCCCTTACTGCCTTGTAAATTTAATTTTTTTCCAAATACCATAAGTGTGCTTTGTTGTTTGAATTGTAAGTTTTACTTAATCTACATGTATATGGATGTCTGTATTCAAGGCTAGAGAGATAAAACAATGGTGATTTGTTGCTTTTTTATTGATGTTATATGCTCCTGAAGGGTCTTGTAGTAGACCCTATATACTGTAACCACTTTCCTATTCTGTTATTATTGTATATCAGTACAGAGCATACCCCTGGAAGATTGTTTCTATTAATGATATCTGTTGTTGTTGCAGAGTAACCTGTAGATCATTGGGTTTCTCTTGTAAACTAATGTAATTTTGTTAGTTCTGGCAATCTCCCTTAGTTACATGATTGAGTTTTGCTTTTGTATGCTTAGGGATATTCCTTTAGAAAGTATACATGATTCCTCTATGTAATTGCAGATTATTTAATTTTGTCTGAACTAACGGAGTCAACTATTTCATGGAAGATAACTATATTAAATTGTATTTTTTAAGGTAAAAGCAGTAAAATGCATACAATAACACCTTATTCCAGCAAAATTTATTCTGAATTACAAACATTTTTGGCCACATTTAGAGTCCTTCTTCAAGTAAACAACCCATTCCATTTATTGTACATTCAAAAAACAGAGAGACATTCTACAAGAATTATGGATTTGATTTTTAAAATTTACATTCTAAATTAACCGACATGGATTAATTCAAAAATTGTATAATAAAGTTGGAGATTAATATTAAAATAAGACTAAATATTAAAAATAATACAGTAAAATACGTAAGAGCAAATGTAAAAATAATATGCTAATGTTTGATGTGCTTTCCTGTGCTTCAAAAATTACAAAACCTTTGACATAACCTAACCATAATTTTAACAGATTAAAAATGACAGTGGGAAATATAACATGAACTATTGAAAATATTATAGGGGAAGGTGACTGAGGTTATGAATTATCAATTGGCATGACAATACTTAGCTCGGGTATGAGCTAGTATTGTCATGCCTGAGCTAAGGAGTTATAATTATTGTTGATGCAACTTTCATTTAGTTTAGCTGTTAAAAATAAATCATTTTCTAACTTTATGAGGTATGCAAGTTTAGAGTACATGCAATGTCTAGTATTTCGAATGCCTTACAGAGACATACAAAATATACTTTAGGCAACAGTGCGTCACATTCATACGGTAGCTTTATTCTAAAAATGGACATCGCGAATACTTTGTTCAGTCAACATTGACTAAGAAAATGAAGTTACTCTAGCTTTAGTTAGGGCTATCAAGGCTTTCCTGTAAGTCTTGGCTGGTGTAGTCATATTTCTTAACTTTCAAAATAAACAATATTTTTACTGCTTTTATAAACAAATTAAAAAATTATAATATCTTTATTTATATTAAATATTATATGATGATAAGTATTAATGATTTTGTTATACTTCAATTAACTCTAATAGCTTTATTACAAACACAACAGAATACATTAGATTTTTACTAGAATTTTATAAATTTTATTGTGAAAAATATATTATTATGGATCAATAATTTTATATATTAATTAAAATTATTTATTGGTTTTTCTTTTAGGTTAATATTTTCAGATGCTACTTCCAGGAACTTGTTTCTCTTTTTATTATTGAATTTGTCTTTTGCATTTATTGAATTATTGTATGGTGTATGGACAAACAGGTAATAAGATAGATTACAGTATTTGAAATAGTATGGATTACTTTTTTGTGAACATATTGCTTCTTAGATAATATTAATGCTAAAATTTTATTATTTTCAGTCTTGGACTAATATCAGATTCATTTCATATGTTTTTTGATTGTACGGCACTCCTAGCGGGACTAGCGGCTTCGGTTATTACAAAATGGAGAGCAAATGATAAATTTTCATATGGGTAAGAACAAATATTAATTTTTTTCAAAATTATTTATAAATTGTTTTGAATGATTACATGAAGTGAAAGCTCTCTCTACAGCACATCTTACACTTTGAAAAAACTATCATTATAGAATTATATAAAAATGATTTTGATCATTTTTATGCCCTATGGAGATGTTTAAATCTTTTAATATCTGTTCTATTTCCAATAACATTGGTTCCAATATTTGAAAATTTAACTAGGAATATATTTTGATTTAAATAATTGTATAAATGTAAAAAAGTCATTACATAATTATTCAAATTAAAATGTATTTCTTTTAAAGCTAATAAAAAACAGTCATTCTACAAGCTGTAAACTTATTATCCTCTCCTCCCTCCCTTTCTCCTTCTTACATCATCTCCCCCCCTCAATATCCCTGTTGTTTTAACAGCTGTGGAGTCATTTAGCCTAATGATGCCATTTCAACACTGGTGAAAACATTATCACCTTTTTCTGCTGGTTATTTTGGTTTGTGTGACTTCTTTTTTTTTCAAGTTTACACAGTTATGAGTGATTGTGTTTTAAAGCTAATTTTAAATGTTTGTTGTATGCAAATTTGTCTCATTATTAAAATATAGTTAGTCCTTTTGTTATATTAATAATTTCATGCATTATTCAAAGAAATATTTATATTACAATATTAAAAAATTAGCAATGAGTTGTGTAACTTTCCCGGCTGTTATGAGTTTTTATTAAAAAAGTTTTATATTAAGCAAAAAATAGAATTGTGTATGGCACCATCTGTTATCAGATGTTGTTATAAAAGTTTTTATATTTTTAATTACTATAAAATGGCAAAAAGTATAAATTTTGAGGGTAGGGATCAGTTTTATGAAAAACTGTAGAAAGTGTAAATGTTAATTATGCATAAAATCTTCATGAAGTCCTACCCCTTTCGAGATACATGATTGTTCTCTATTTCCCCACCCTCTTAACGTTTTACCACCAAAATTTAATAGCATCAATGACACTCAAATGCAAGCCACCATGCCAAATTTAATTTTTTAATCTTTACCCCATCCTAAGCTATTAAGCAAAATATATGCCAACATACATACACATCCACAGATTTTTTTTTGACTTTTTTGGATTTGGAAGGTCTCAAAATGTGGAGATTTGTAAAAAACTCTGAAGGTCAAATCTGACACGATTCCAAACAATAAAACGAAGGTTTGATGTCAATGTAATAAAAAATAAATAAAACAACAAAAACAAAACAATTAATATTTATTATAAGTATAGAAAAAATAAAACAGCAACTGCACACCAGGTTGTATATAGCAAAATATTTCTTGAGAAAATGTTCGTTTTGGAAGATTAAACTCTGTATGCACCGGTTATAGGTTCAAGTAGGTCATATTTTGCTATATAGAAAAAAATAATTTGCATCTATGTAAACTATGCTAACAGATTGCAACTCATGTGATTTAAAGAAATAGACATATATAAAGATTACTATTCTGACTATTCATTTAATAAATAAAATATTAGTGAACACTTAGTTTTATTTCCTTTTTTCTTTTGCTGTTTTGTTTTTTAAAGTAAATATGCATTTTAAAACACTAAATTTGAAACATTTATTGAAAAATAAATATTCCTTTATTTTCAAAAAATAAATATAACCAATTACTATAATGTGCTTTAATAATTATGTCATAAATTTTTAGTAGTCATTCTAATATCAAGTTTGTGTAAACATTTATAAGTGTAATTTGAATTACTAATTAAATGTATAAATTAAATACAATTTAGTTTTAATGATATTAAAAAAACAGTAGGAAATAAATAAACTATTATTAAGTAGGAAGTAATTAATTTCTGTAGTAATAACTTAATTCAGTTATCAGCTTAGTATATTTAATGAGACTATAGATTATAAAATTTGTTTTTAAAACTTTGTTTAAATATGTAAATAAAAACTAATTTTTGATTTTTATTATTAGATAAAATAAAGATAAAAATACAATCTGAAACATTCTGTAAAGTGACAATAAGCTTTAGATTAATAAATTACATTAATTATGCAGAGATGATATGAAATCTTAGAATGCTTATGGAGATCAACAGAAAAAGAATTTACAAATTTCTACATATTTATCATTTGAATTATAATTCACATGATTTTTTTAATATTAAATATATAGTCAACCCCCCCTATAACGCAGGTTCATATAATGCGGATTTGTATATTGTGGCAAAAAAATTGCGACCGTATTTGTATAAAGACGCTAAAAGAGACTCATAAAATGCGGTAAAACGTCATCGCCGACTCGTGCCGCGACAGGATTGGTCGAATCTGGACCAATAGTGGACGAGCAGCCGAACTATTTACACACTACGAAGAGTTTAGGCGGGTAAGTTGAGTTTACTATCGTCTGTACAGTATATAGGCCTAAATTAGGTACTGTAAGTCTAATACAGTACTGTAATTTTATAAATTTCTTGTGAAAAAACATTTCTTATTCAACAACCATAAAAATTATTTCTATTAATGATGTCTCCAAAGTTAAGTTATTTTTCTGCGAAAAATTTGCTGATCAGAAAACGTGCCCGCCGTTCGATGCGCTGCTCAGCGACAAAAACAAGCTTAAGCAATGGCATTGTCGAACGGTGCACACTCGGTAAGTAATCCTACAATTTTTCGTTTATAGCATAGTTTATACGGATTATTCCCAAAAACTTATACGTGTTTTGGAAATGTTGAGTCAAATTAATCTAGAATCGATTAATTTTATGGAAGAAAACCTTTCAAACAGCCGTAGTCCGTAAACTGCACACATGGCAGGCTGTGATTGGCTCATATATTTAAGGATTCTTACAACGTGAAATTCTTATAAAGTGGAACGTATCTACTGCGTTATAGGGGGTTGACTGTATTTCTATATCCAGAATACAAAGATTACTATTAATAATTTAACTTTTAAAAATTAATTTAGCAGATTATTACTACTACTCAATTATCTTTGACTGAGAAATTTAAACTAATATATATACATATAATGATACGTTAACAAAATAATACTGAAAAAATTGTATCTATTAAAGATCTGTATGCCACGTTGCTTCATTTTGGGGCATTGGTGCACCACTGTGTGCACCAATGCCCCAAAATGAAGCAACATGGAATACAGATGACACATGGAATTGTTTGCATCACAATTGAAAATATATCAAAATCAAAATCTATTTGAATATAACCAAAATGATTAATCTAAAATATTACAATTATATACTTATAATTTTCTTACATTAAAACATTTACTCATTACTAATTGAATGGCAGTTTAAAGGAATGCTACACTTACTTTCTTAAGCTTAGAATAGTGATTCACATTTAAAAATTGCAGACAAAGTTTTGATGACAACAATTCCTCAACCCTACAAATTCAAATCTAAAAGAAATGATAAGTCTAACTTTTAATCTATGCATCAGTGCATAAACAAAAATCACACGTACAATTTGCTTTGTTACAAGTTCATCTTGGGTTTTAACACATTTAAAATAATTACAATTTATTAAAATTTTTGAAAACATTGGAAATATAATATGGTATATTATAGTCCTTCAGAATATGAACTACATTTTATTCATGCACAAACAAATTGAAAAGTCAATAAAAACACCATTCTCCTCATCAGTATACTGAAGAGAACTGTGTTTTTGTAATGTAACCTGAAACTGATGGACTAATTTGCATACTGACAGAGAACAGTCAGAGTATTTCCAATTTCTTAAAAGTAAATAATTCTGAGATTAAATACAAAAAAAACTAATAATAATAATATTTTTAATATTTTCAAAACAAATATTTATTTCTTACTTAGATTTTAATTTTTGCATCCTTTAATTCCTCATTTGAAATCATAATCCAATTAGGCTGCATTGTCACAAGCTGTTGCATTGCTTATGAAACAAGACATAGCATGGTACAATATCAGAATGTGTCACAGAAACAACACCTGTAGGTTTTTAACAGATAAGTACCAAAAGTATATGGTGTTTTCCAATTGTTAAAATAATTATAAAAATTTATATGACAAATTTTTTAAAAACACTACACAGTAGAAATTTATTAATCTGGCTCATACAGGATTAGACTGGTACTGCATTACTGACCATTTTTGTATTTTTGCAAAATTCAATAAACTAGTTACAGGTGACCTGAATTTTAACACATTGTTGTACATTTTGTACCAGCACATACTGCTGTTTGCTTCCAATTTGTTTATGTCAAACACTTTAACCCCTTAAGCCCATAACCCCCCATAACACTCTGAAGATGATACATTGCATGACTGTACTGTGTTAAGATTTATTGAAAAACCTGCAAAAATGTTAATGAACGTATTGTGTGGAATCAATATTCACAATTATTCATGTGCATATACTAATTCAATTTCTAGACATGTAGAATGCTTCTATCAGGGGTTGTATGCTCCACGTTCTCAAACAAATTCTATTTTGTAGAATACTAGCATGCCAAATTATTATTGGACAATCCAAGATTATATCCAAGATAAAGCCGATAATAAAGTTTAATAGGCAGTACAATTCCCTTCAAACTTAATAGTTTGCCAACTATCGGCTGACTGCTTAAACAGTATGGCAGACTATGCTAGTGCACAGACTATTAGTCAGTGCATTGCCTTCAGTTCACTCTGAACGTTAGTGTTGGGCTGTGCGTGTGGGTTGCTTATAATAGGCAAATCAATCGAAACTTTAATTAAAGAGATTGAGAAATGATCAGCTTTGTATAAAAAGATCGGATAAAAATTAGTTATATAACTCAGTAATACTAGTATAAATTACATGAAGATGTATGCGACTGCAATTTTTCTCCTTCATTTTATAATAAGAGTAATAATAGCAGCTCTTCTTGACAACATTTCTGTTAAAACACAAGCATTCAATCCAAGTGCAGCTTATTGAGTAAAGCAATTGGCTATTGGCCAGTCTGCGCATCCATCACCAACTGAACAGTTTAGTTGTAGCAGTGTGTGGGGATGCACTCCAATTTGACTAAAACCCTATTACAGACTAAACTATCATATGATAGTTTAGTCTGTAATAGGGTTTCTCCAATGGGATCCCAGGAAACTCGGCATCTTGGCTGTTTTTTTAATCTGGGAAATATCCCGGAAATCCTGCAAATTTCTTAAAAATTCACTTTTTTCTTACATTGTGTTAAATTTGAGGAAATTTTGCAAATAGAAAGTATAATTAACTCATAAACTCTCAATATACATTTGTATTAAGCCTGCTTATTAGTTTTTAAATTCTTGCTTGTCATGGCATGTCACAGATTGTCAATAATCAATATGTTGCCTATTTGTGACAGAACTGAAAATTCTTTACTTGTCAGAACCTGTAATATCTGGAATAATTGTGCTTATGCTGTTTTTAACCATGCCCAGTAGCTTCAATAACTTAAAAGTGCATTATGCCAGGTTGAGTAAATTGGGCTAGGATACAAATGAGTATGAAGTATGCAAGTATGAAGTTTTTCTTCATAAACTTGATTATTAAAGCCAAATGAACTGTCAAATTATCAGGCTGTAAGCTTGATGCTGCTATTAAAGCAGCCGAAGTAGACAAATCAAGAATACTAGACAGCAAAAGAAGTACTATAATGCATCTCAAAAACAAACTAGAAATCTTTCAGGCAACAGATGAAAAAACACATAATGCATTTAAAGAGAAAACAGATGTTAATGATGATTCCTCCCACATTGATTGAATCGGAAAGGGCATTCTCGGTAGCAGACTTTTCATTACTAAAATAAGAACCCGAGTGATCAAAGTATTGACCATCTTTGCGTTATAAAATCTTATTATAAAAATTTACAATAATATTTTGTATTATCTTTTATTTAAAAAACGAAAATTACCTTCTAAGTTAAAAGTTTGATCTAAGTTCATTTTTTTCTTTACATTTTCAACTCAATTCAAAAGCATTTTTTTTGTAAGCAGTTTCTGACAAACTTTAATAAATCTTTTCTATTTGTGAAAATTTATACATAATTCAAAGGTAATTTTTAATGTATTTTACACAACATTATTAATATTATGAATTTTGGAGGTTGCAGAACATTTAAATTACTTTAGAAAATGAAAAATAATTATATCATTTGATTTTAACACATTCTTTATATCTTGGGATTTCCCGGGATCTCGGGAAACAGCTCACTTTTTTCCAGGAATCCAGGGACAAGCAAAAAACTGGGAAATGAAAAACTCTAGTCTGTAATGTGAGTGGGCTCTTAAAGAGCTTGTACTGTAATAGGAATTGTACAGAAATTTTAAGATTTTTTGTGATGTTTGTGAAATAATTAATTTGTTTTTATTTTTTTAACTCTAATATAAACTGTAGAAATTTTAAAATAAGACATTTAAAAAATTTAAATTTTCAAAGAAATTTAATTTACAGCAATATTAGTGAATAATAGTTAATATTTCATTTTAGTTACGTTCGAGCAGAAATTTTAGCCGGATTTGTAAATGGACTTTTTCTAATCTTCATCGCATTTTTTATTTTTTCTGAAGCTGTAGAGGTGAGTTTAATAATAAATTTAAACTTCAGAATTTATTTTATTAATTTTTGTTAATTAAAAATAAGATTTTATTAAATTTAATATATATTTTACTGTAATTTTACTGTAAATAGAAAATATAATGAATTCTTTAATTTAAATACACTAGACTCTTGCTAATCCAGCCATTCCTTGAACAGAGTGCTGGATTACTGAGTGTGTATTGGCCTGAAGGCAATGAATGATGTAATTTGTTATCTTTCAGTACTAAATTGTTTTGGAGGCAGGTGGGCAAGTAATACAATGTGCTATCATATGCAATACTGTACACACAAATGAAACCTGGGTAAATAAGAAAACAGGATGTGATTTTGTTAAGTTTTATGTATACATATACATAAAACTTAACAAAAATATAAACTTTGTGGGGTTTTATAAATTTTACGATAAATTAAAACCAAATTTTTGAAAGGTTAATCTGTCTATGTAAAGCTGTTTTAGATCATAACTAAATATTGTATTTATTTATTGCATTTTCCAAACAGAGAAGAAATATATAGAAAGGATTGTGAATTTAAATTAAAAACTAAATTTAATGTTTTATTTTAATTCTTGAACCTATATACAATTTTTCCATTATATAAATTTTTAAATTTAACAAAATTATAAAAATTCTTTGAAAGGAAGAAAAACAATTATTTATTGTGACGACGTCACAATGTCGGACTGCAATTTTTAATAATTTTTTAAATTTAAAATAGATGCTTCTCCACCTCAAATTAGTAGTGTCTTGCCCCTGTACATCAATCTTTTCCTGTTACAGTAGAACCTCGAAAACTCGGCTCTCGATAACCCGGCACTCCGGATAACTCGGCCACACTATGGCAGGGCAAAAAAATCCTTAGTTAATTAATTTTCATTATAGACAGCTTTATAAAAGTATAAAAGCTCTCATAAAGTATTTTTCTGAGGTCTGTCTTATCAGGTAAATTACTGTACACAGTGTATTCATTAATTTTCATTTTCATGTAGTAAAGGCTCTATGCCTTCATAAAGGACGTACTTTTTCTTTGTTTAAGGGTATTTGAGCAGTTTATTCTCTGTTATATTCTCAAGTAAACAATACATACAAGTACAATACAGTATTTTCTGAGGAAACACTCGTACTATTTTTTTAAACCCCATTCCCGATAACCCGGCATTTTCACAAACTCAGCTACCCTTCGGTCCACATTAGGCCGAGTTTTTGAGGTTCTACTGTAGCAATAGAGTCATGCCAGTCACCTATCTAACTCCTTTCAGGAGAACATTTTTGAATTGAAATAATGTTACTTCCGGTTTGCATTGGAAGTTCATATATAATTAATTGGGGCCTCCTGCCCCTAATTGTTCCATATCTGGTGTCGACTTTCATTTATCTAACTCCATTGTAGAGATTAAGGAAAGACAGACAGACAGTGGGAATTTATAGGTCTAGAATTTTTTCAAATTGCAGCCCAATAACAAATGTTGCATTTTAAGTGAAAGAAAACTGTACAATTATAAAGAAAATAATTTTTTTGAAGATTTGTAACATTTCTTCAAATAAATTTCAATCTTATAACTATTATGCAATTTAACATATTTTTCTACTGTATAAATAATTTTGTGATTTATCAATTTACTATGTACTTATACTGTTAATGTTTTAAATTTTTAATGAAATTATAACCAATGAATTTTTATTAATTTCAATCTTTAAACATTCTTTATTTTTATATATTTTAAAATAGTAATTTTTATTTTATGAATGAGTGAAATTTTAAAAAACAAGTTTAGATTTAGTTTATTTAATTTCAACTTAAAATAAAGAATTATTTTATATCTATTATAGAGAGCCATCGAACCTCCTGAAGTCAAGCATGAAAGATTATTTATTGTTTCTGTATTGGGTTTGTTGGTGAATCTTGTAGGAATATTTGCTTTTCAACACGGTCATGCACATGGCCATGGACATGGTCACTCTCATGGGGGTTAGTAGATTAGTGTTTTATTTAACATAATTATATTATATTTAACCATAAACATGTATTTTCTATATCTATAATTAAAGTTAATCAAATTATTATGCTTGGCTTATTGTAAGTAAAATTATCATTATTTTATATATATGTGAGTTTCCCAACCCTGGTGGAGATCGGGGACTCAAAATGCCATTTCTCTGACATCAGCATGAGTTTGGCGACCTTCGGGGGAAATTGGTTAATCCCACGTCAGTAATAGTCTGTCCGCATATCGGCAGTGAATCTGGAGACAGAGATGACAAGTGTCTAACATAGAAACCATTTATTATAACAGAAGGTAACTTACACTATACAATAACAATTTGTTCCAGAGTTGGTGAATGGAAATAACGAGCAGTGATTCAAGCATTACGGAACAGTTGATGGTGATCATCTGGTGGACGGTGAACGACGGTAGCCCTGGGGCAGTAACGTTGACAAGTCCGTTTCGAGATGGGAGACTCTGGTAGTTGTTCAAGGCAACACTGTCTGAGCCATTAGCGATGTCATCCCTCCAGATGGCACAGGTTAATGTTGGACAGAATTCGCTATAAACTGTGCTTTGACCTTGGATTCTGGGTTTTCATGTTTTCTCTCTCCATCTGCTTTTTGATCATTTCACTTCCCAATTGGTTGCTCTCCTGTCTCTAGGTGAAAACCGAGACCTGTTTGGGTCATGAGAAAGGTCCACTTCAGAGAGTCTACTTGATATACCATTTATCAACTCTGACTGGGAGGTGTTGATGAAACTGTGAAACTTGCACTTATATTTTACTTCATTACTGCCTTCTCTCTGATGTCTTAGAATTTTGATGATTTAATGAGATGTCCTTTGACTGTCAACCTTTCCCCTTTTTCCAATTTTCTAACTTAGACTGCTTGTATACGAGTGTTCAGTCAAAGTTCCATGTCTCTGGGTTGACATTCCACTATGATCTATCACATTGTTTATCTCAGCATCACATTTGTTTTGACAACTACATTTTTTTTCCCTCTCTCTCTTACATAGCTTAGATGATCTTTGTTCTGACTTAACAGTAACTTTCCTTTTCCTTTTATAGTGTATAATTAATTTGATGTTTAACCTCGTCTAGAACCTCACATAATATATAAAAAAATAATAATTTTACTTATACATATATATGTAATAAATAAGTAAATTTCTAATTACTTATTTATTACATAAGTAATTAGAAAAGTATACCGTCTGCATTAGATTTTATTTGAAATTAATTACTAATATAAAAATACTTTATGTATTAATATTTCTATATAATGAATATGAATTGAAACATTAACTCTAATTCAGTTGGATACAAATATCATAATTAAAATTTTTCAAAATATTAAAAATAAGTTTCATTTTGAATCATTTTGCTCTTAGTAGGCAAGATACCATTTTCATTTGAAACTTGAAGGAAATTTTTTAAATTTATGTATTGAAATTAAGAAATTATTATTACATTTTTGAAATATTTTTTGTTAGAAATGATATTTTATTATATCAAATTATTTTTAATAATTTTTACTTTTGATGTTTGTTGATTATTTTTAAGCAATATCACCAAACGATTGCCTAAATAATCGGGCTATAACTCCAATAATTTTAAATAATTAATGCTAAGTAATTTGCTACTAGAGGTAGACGTCGGGCACCATCTCTTAACTAAATTAATAATTATAATTTTAATAATTTATTAAATAATTTAGAACCATTGTTTAAGATATAAATTTACGAAGATTTAAAATATGTTACTGAAATTTTTTGCTGTTGTAAAGCTGTATTTTTGTAAATATTTTAAGCACTTTTAGGAGAATGGAAGATATTTGAGAAAAACTAATGTAAATAATAGATTATGATCTAACAAATTGCTACTTAAAAACTTTTTAGAAACTGGCATATATAACACTATAAGACAAAAAGACACCTGCAATAAATTCCATCACAAACATTTAATGAAATTGATGAATGTTTTTAAACTCATTAATAGGCTAACTTCAGATCAAATTGTAAATCTGTAGAATTTGAATGCTGAATTCTGTAGGTTTGCAATTTTTGATCTGAAACTGCCCTATTCAAGGCCAAAAATATTTGTCAATTTCATTAAACATTTGTGCTGGAATTTATTATGGTTGTCTTCTTGTCATATAACTTGCATTAGAATGTTTACTTACAAATATATGTTCTTGTGCCTACATCTTATTTATGTTTAAATTTGAATTTTCATATTGTACGTGTTCAATTTTAAGCATTTTGACTCATTCTCCTGAAGAATTTACCCAAAAATGTAAGGATGACAATTAAGAAGTTAAGACACAACAATAAATAAAATTTAATTTATAAAGAAAAAAGGAATTAAAATAAAATTATTATGTTTATAGCTTATATTTAGCATATATTTCAGAGCTTGGTTAACTTAGTTTCTTTTTAAGATAAATTTAAGGATATGAAAAATTGTCCAATATGTATTTCATATATATCCTGTAAATTTTCAATTGCAAATTATATGCTTATATAGGTCATGGACATTCGCATGACTCACATGGTCATTCCAGTCATTCACATTCGCAATCTCATGGGCATGGGCATGGGCATTCACATGATTATGGTAAGTTTATTCTTTTTTTAATTTAAAATATGAAACATTACAAATGTATGTAATGATTTTAATGTTAATCTTTAAAGAAATGTAATACAGGAAATTCTCATTAATTCGAACACGGATAATTCAAAATCTCATTAGTTCATAACTGTACTTTTCTCCCAGCTGGAGATATAGCAATTTACATGTTAAGGAATTCATTTGGTTCAAAATATGGCTACTTTAAAATTTGAAGTAAAAATTCTGTCCAAACTGTGATATGCGTATGTTAACTCATTTGTTTAGATTGAAGTGCCTCCATGCTATAAGAGAACAATAGACCAAGAATAATTCTAATCTGGTCAATATGGCTTTGCTTTTACAGTAACACATTTTCAGGTGTCACCTTACCCATCATGGACTACCCTTTCTTTCTCCTTTGTTCAAACACAATATAGTGCAATCACTCAACCGCTTTGCACTATATTGTGTTTGAACAAAGGAAAAAAATATCAACATGGTTTCAAGAATGTTATACCCTTTCTTTCTCATATCTCATAAAGAAAAAATATTGCTGAATTTTAGGATTGCAAAATTGGGCTACTGGTATTTGTAGGGCTCTAGGCTAATACATTTGGGTAACTTACTACTTTTTGGACCACTTTAAAATAAATTTAAGCTACATTTCGAGAAATTCTGCTTTACTTTTTATAAAACCTGTCTGGTAACCTGTGAGGTTCTCATTGGACACATGCTGTTTACTTTCAGTTTATTTGTATTATTGTTATTAATTAACAAAAATAGCATTCGGTATACAGTCGACCCCCCTATAAGATCATAGATACGTTCCATTCTTTAGGAATCTGATTTCTTACGAGTCCTTCCAATCACAGTCCGACACGTGTGAAGTTTATGGACTACGGCTGATTGAAAGATTTTCTTCTATAAAATTAATCGATTCTAGACTAATCCGACTCAACATTTCCAAAATACGTATATATTTTTTGGAAATAATCCGGATAAACTACGCTATAAACAAAAAATTGTAGGATTACTTACCGACTGTGCACCATTCGACATCGCCATTGCTAAAGCTTGTTTTCGTCGCGAAGCAGCACACCAAACCACGACCGATTTCTGATAACTTATTTTTCTGTGAAAACTTCGGAGACATCATTAATATAAATAATTTTTATCGCCGTTGAATAAGAAATGTTTCTTTCACAAGAAATGTATAAAATTACAGTACTGTATTAGACTTACGGTACCTAATTTACATACTGTACAGACGATAGTTAGCGTAAAAATCTCCGTAGCGTGGCGCCACGCTAGACGGCGGAAATTATATATTTAATTATAACAAAGTTACAATAAGTTAATATATAATTATATATACAGTACCTAATTTATATATAATTTATATATAATACTGTCCAGATGATAGAAATCTCTCCGTAGCGTGGCGCTACGAACGGTGGGAAAGTAGTTCGGCTGCCCGATGACGTTTTACGTAATTATAGGAGTTTTTTACCGGTTTTTACGGATACCGTCGCAATTTTTTCACAGTTTTATAGGAATTGTAATTATAGGGACCATAATTATAGGGGGGGTCTACTGTACTGTATCCTGATTGCTTAATAAATTGCATCAGTTATATGGCATTTATCATATTGTGCAGAAATCTTAGATAATTCAAAGTCTCAAATATTTCTTGTATTATGATTTATGCATTAGCCTGTATTATGTAATTTTGTATTTTACAGTGAAAATTTTAGAATCAGAACATCAAAATTTACAAAATGCTTTTTATGTGCAATTGAAAATACAATTAGAAACTAAACATATAAATTTTTTAGCAGATGTGAACAGGGTCAGATTAAACACATTCATGTCTAAAAATGTAGATATACATTTTACCTCAAACCCTGTCAAAGGTCTAATACGTAAAAATTTGCTCATTTATTTGTTATAGTTTTAAATGTGTTCTCTCATATTTCCAACAAGCGTAGATCTTTTGTTAGATAATATAATGCCTAGTTTCATATGTTGACAACATTTAAAATAAAACATTTTAGGTTTTTCAATTTTTATCAAATTTTTTCATAACAAATAGTTTTCTCATCCTTTTTTCCAGTTATTACTATTATTATTAAATAATTTAACATTTAATTCTTTTAAAACATAATTGTAATGCTTTTGCTTATTTGTATTTATTGTGGTTTAATGCATTTTTTATGGAGTACTAATTTGCATATTTTTCAGGATGACATATAAATAAAATCAAAAACTAAAATTCTTTGGCACACATCATAAATTTTTGTCAGATAGTAGAAAACAATCAATAGAATGAAAATAAACCATTACTGAATCAGAATCGAGTGCTGCATTAAATTCAAATTTATCTATAATTAAATCTATATCTACAAATCCTTATTCATTATATATCAAATTAAATAGGAATTTAAAGTAATTTAGTAATTTTATTAGCCAAATTGCAGCTTTAGTAGATTTTTTTCTATAAATCAATTTTATACAATAGAGAAAATTCTTATATATGTATAAATAAAAAATATATGGATAAAAAAAGTGTATTAGGAATTTGATGTATTGCACAAATATTAAATATTCAAATTTTTTTAATATATAATAGAAATTGTATAATATATAATTGTATATATATTCATTTCAGGAGGTAACAGTAATTGTGAAGATGATGATCATAAACAAGACGCTTCTCAAAGTCAAATTATGCATGGTAAATATGGCTTTTGTTTGTCAGTATTTAAAAAAAATTCTTTCATAATTTCTATTTATTGAGTTAGTATAACTTTTTGTTTGGAAATATTCAGATAAAACAATTGAGTTTAAGACATTTAACAATTTTGTTTTCTGTGTTTATAACTGATTTTGTTTATAGTTGAGTATAGATAGATGATGGTGGTGGTTTACTCAGACTAACACTAGAAGTCAGAGAAGACAGTAAAAAAAAACTTTAGTTATAGTGTGCAGAAATGGATATAATATTAAATAACTTTCATTGTGTTCATTTCTAATCATAAATCTGATCTTTGTGATATTAAGAATAAATTATTATTCACAACATATTATTTTATGCATTCTTTTTATTACTATGTTAGTACAATTTACAAAAACAATAATTTTTTTCTCTGAAACTATATTTTTTGTACTTATAAAAAATTATTCCTAGGATTAAAACTTGTACAGTGGTGTCTCCAAATTTAATTCATTCCAGGAAGCTGTTTGAAGTCTAATCAACAGTAATTTAAGGTAAAAATAAGACAACTAAAGGCCCCAATAATAAATTAAAACACAAAAACAATAAATAATATATATAAATACTGTATAATAAAATGAAAATTCCATTTACTGTTTGCACACTGTCGACTTCGGCATCTGAAATGTGGTTGCCAGATCCACCACGCATGTACCGCTTTCGTGCTTTGTGATAAGTTTCTTTTTCATCCCAATTGTTGCTATTACAGCCTTCCTCTTGTTAGATGTCTTTGCTTCCACATACTTCTTGAATGCTATAGTTAATAGACTAAATAAAGGTTGTATTTGTTGGTTGAACAGGTCTTGTTACTTAATATAGATGTGTGATTTAAAGGTCTGTAAAGAAATTATACATACACTTGAAATTTATGTATAACTTCACACAATGTTTATTTATACCAATTTAACAATTAATAGATTTTTTATTATAAATAATTACTCACAAATATATCATATTCATAAATAAAAATATTCAAATTCCTGAGTGAGATATTAATATAAAACTTGCAACCAAAACATAATTAAAAAATAAAATAATTATACATACAGCAGTATTTTTGCCCTTTATATTAATTATTAAAACTTTTTGTAAATTTCCTTTATATTGATTTAGCTTGTAAATTCTATTAGGTATTATTTCTGACAAATGTTGCAGTTATGTAAGTTTATTTTATTCCAACAATTATAAATTTGAACTCTTAAGTTCATCAGCGGTTGTGTATTATTTGTTGTTAGCATTATCATTTGAGAAAGCATTAGCCACAGATTTTCCATGAAATTTAAGTCTAGAAAAAAATAGATGTAATGGTCAATCCATTACATTTATTTTTTTCTTGTTTAAACCAATTTTTATGATGGATTAAATGCATTATCTTGCTGGAATATCCACTCATTTCCTCCAGTCAGTGGTCTAAATGGAATAAGATGCTAAAAATAACATATTTTGATATTTTCTGAAGTCATTCTGTTGTTAATTATGATTACTTATATTGTAGTCTGGCTCTGCAGTAATGACAGTGCACAGAATATCATCTATGTAATGTATCAGCATATATGAAGTTGTGTATTTTCTACCTTTTTCTTTATTGTCCAGAATAGATTTATCTTACACTTTTATATATGATTTCCAATAAATCATACAGCTTCATAACATCATACACATTTAAATTCAATTGGACCCACTATGGGTCCACTTTTTAAAGCCATTTGGAGTGTGAAGCTATTCAAATCTGTGGGTTTATTTTTTAAAAACTAGTTTTTGTTTGTATTGGTGTAAGTGGCCAGGTATTGTTAAGTGAAAACCAAAAAAATAATTCTAGAAAAGTAACACAGACAATAAGAAATGTGATGCAATAATTTACACAATTGCAATTTTGAATAAGTTGTTTACAGTAACTCAAGGACTGACTCAGGACAACTTAATAGGCCTTCCATGACTTTTAGCTGGCCATTGCTTTACTTCTCATGGTGTTTACATACAACTATAAACATCTATTAGCCAAATTAACATTTCAAAGATTTATGTTACTTCTTTATTTATTTCAACTGTATTTTGTCTTTTAAATATTTTAATGATTCCCTCTTTTTAGTTTTGCATTCATCCTCCTCTAAGAATTGTGTTTTCTAATTACCATCTTTGTTTATCCAGACATTCCCTCCATTTTAAAGCAATAATGCCATCTTTTCAGTTGAAGATTTTCTTTATTGTAATTTTACTTGCTTTAAGAACTTATGTAGAAAACTTATTTATTATGATGCCTTTTAATGTCTTTTTTTTATCTTTTATTTAATATACATTTGTTTATATATACATATAATATAAAATACGATAGACTGTCCATTAACTAGAACTCAAGCAACCAGCAAAAAAATCAAAGAAATAATACTTTAAATAAAAATTAAAATAAAATCAATTTCTAGCAGAAATGTAAGTTTAAACTTGGCATGCTGTGCTATGAGAAAGTCCACGCTTCATACACCATATCTGTCTTATATGTTTATTGACTGCCATTTAACTAAAATTGCACACTACATTCACAAAGCTGTTTTTATAATAAAACTTTCTTACATTAAGTTAAGTATTTTCCTATTCTGTCATATGTTTAATGGATATTTTTGTTAATTGGGAAATAGCCAATACTTATCTTTAAAGACAAGTAATTTTGTATTTTATGTAAAAAGTAAACAAACGTCATCACTAAAACCCAATACATTATAAAACTACAAGCTAACCAATGCCTTATGTCATCGGACTAGATAACGGCTATAATACTAAATTATTGTAATAATTATTAAAGTCTAACATAGAAACCATTTATTATAACAGAAGGTAACTTACACTATACAATAACAATTTGTTCCAGAGTTGGTGAATGGAAATAACGAGCAGTGATTCAAGCATTACGGAACAGTTGATGGTGATCATCTGGTGGACGGTGAACGACGGTAGCCCTGGGGCAGTAACGTTGACAAGTCCGTTTCGAGATGGGAGACTCTGGTAGTTGTTCAAGGCAACACTGTCTGAGCCATTAGCGATGTCATCCCTCCAGATGGCACAGGTTAATGTTGGACAGAATTCGCTATAAACTGTGCTTTGACCTTGGATTCTGGATTTTCATGTTTTCTCTCTCCATCTGCTTTTTGATCATTTCACTTCCCAATTGGTTGCTCTCCTGTCTCTAGGTGAAAACCGAGACCTGTTTGGGTCATGAGAAAGGTCCACTTCAGAGAGTCTACTTGATATACCATTTATCAACTCTGACTGGGAGGTGTTGATGAAACTGTGAAACTTGCACTTATATTTTACTTCATTACTGCCTTCTCTCTGATGTCTTAGAATTTTGATGATTTAATGAGATGTCCTTTGACTGTCAACCTTTCCCAATTTTCTAACTTAGACTGCTTGTATACGAGTGTTCAGTCAAAGTTCCATGTCTCTGGGTTGACATTCCACTATGATCTATCACATTGTTTATCTCAGCATCACATTTGTTTTGACAACTACATTTTTTTTCCCTCTCTCTCTTACATAGCTTAGATGATCTTTGTTCTGACTTAACAGTAACTTTCCTTTTCCTTTTATAGTGTATAATTAATTTGATGTTTAGATCAGAA